AAGGTGAGAATTTAACTTTCCTATCCTTGATCTACCCACCCCAAGTATCTTATTAACAGGAAGAGTAATTTATCAGTTAAAAATATATTTAACTGTTTATAACAATAGCACTTTTAGCTAATGTTCAGTTTTTAACACATAAACTAAACATTAATGATTAGAAATGCTTGGAAATTATTAGAGATTTCACATTATTTTGTAATACAATTTCCCAAGATATAAATCTTTTATTTTTACTTTTGCGATCCTCAAGAGGACACTAGTATTTCAAGGACATCTAAATTATAAATACTAGCCTTAAATCTCATTTTGCTGTAAATGACTTGTTCGGTACACCACGTCAGAAGGATCAACTTCAGATAGCTGGGCTTTTCTCTGGTTTATACTTGAATAAGGTTGTTAATACGGGCGTCCAATTAGTACTGAACTATTTACTTAGGTAAGAGTTTATAGTTCTTATTAATTGATATTAATTTTTTAGAGGTTACTACCATAAATGGTGGACAGTTAGTGTTTAACAAAGATAAAAATGAAAGGTGGTTTTTAACAACCAATTAATTTCTACTATGATGTTACTTTTAAAACCTTTCACTTTTTTTAGGAGTGACTGACCTATTATAAATGGCTGCAGATGGAGAATGGTATTAGGTGTTGGGATATTGAAGGCTAAAGCATTCAACACAGAACGCTAATTAACTTCCATAACAGCTATCTCATCATTCAATTATGTCTAGACAAGTGATTTATTGTGAGGTTAAATGTGGAAACATATTTATTCCATGAAGATACATATTTCAGAATAAAAGAATTAAGACCATCAGAAGAGGCATCAGTAATAATGTACTCTGAGAGATAAGATCCACCATCATAAAAACAAAAGAAAATCTCGACTATTGAGCAAGTGAACACATGATTTTGATATCTGCCAAGAATACCAGTATACAATAACACAATTATGTTGAACAATCAGGGTTCACAAGGCATCATACAAGTTTACTTAAACTTGTATGATGCCTTGTGAACCCTGATTGTTCAAAATTTCTACAACTTAGTTACTTACACAAGCTGCCTTTAAAACTTGTATGATGCCTTGTGAACCCTGATTGTTCAAAATTTCTACAACTTAGTTACTTACACAAGCTGCCTTTAAACTTGTATGATGCCTTGTGAACCCTGATTGTTCAAAATTTCTACAACTTAGTTACTTACACAAGCTGCCTTTAAAACTTGTATGATGCCTTGTGAACCCTGATTGTTCAAAATTTCTACAACTTAGTTACTTACACAAGCTGCCTTTTTGATGGTCGTGGAAATAGTTGCTTCAGAAAGAATGTAATAAAACAGTTAATAGAACAACTATCAACAAGAAAACCTAAATTATGGCAAGAAAGTACAGCTTATACTTGTGCAATAAATCACGTGGAAGGTGGCAGTATGGCAAGAAAGTACAGCTTATGCTTGTGCAATAAGTCGCGTGGAAGGTGGCAGTATGGCAAGAAATACAGCTTATGCTTGTGCAATAAGTCGCGTGGAAGGTGGCAGTATGGCAAGAAAGTACAGCTTATGCTTGTGCAATAAGTCACGTGGAAGGTGGCAGAGTGGAAAATTATGGGTAAGTGATGTATGCTCTTGAAATTCAAAATTTGGAAATGTTGAGTCATTTTTATAGCCATCATGAGTTCAAACTCAACAAGGAAAGGCTTTCTGTATTTCACAGATGAGTATACCTGATTTGAGCTTACAGTAATTATGTTTTCAATTCAAACAAACTATGTCATTTAAATTGTTTTTGAAACTTGATTGTAAACTAGCGATGGGTCTAATTCTTAACATAAGCACCATGTCAATTATTCACTTTAAATCTTATAACACAGGCCTGCGATGGTTTTATTGTCTTGAAAGTTTTAAGTGTTCTACAGTAATTCTTGTACACTGATTCTGAAAATATCCATTTTTCTCCATCACACACAGGTTTTTCACAAAACGCCATAACACAATACATAAAAGAAAAACCACAAAACCTAGTTTTGAAACTGAAAGACGTAGTCACAAAAGAGATCAGGATGAATGAGGATGCATATTCATTTGACATCAATGTTCTTCTCTTTTGTTCAGTTTGTTTGTATTTTTATTAACAAACATAATAATAAAAAATGTTCATTGTGGTAAATGAAATAATAATTTGACCTAAGTAATAGTTATTTTTCTTCCCGATTTGTAAAAATCCTTACACGATAGAAAAAAATTAAAATTACTTTCAAAATGTGCATAACTGAATTATGGAAAATGCATTATTAAAACCAAAACAACTTTCATGAACTTTAAATTCGCAGGCCCGTGTAATCTATAAGCCCTTTAAGAAAGCTCCCAAGTCT